GGGTCTTTCCATTCATTTCCCTCCCTCTATTCAAGGGAGTGCTGAGGACTGGGAAGAAAACACTTTAGCCTCTTTCCAAGACAAGGTTTCTAATGACTTTTGTTTTGTTTCAGCTCTGAAGTTGTTGATAAAAAGATAGAAGAGTTTCTTTCTAGCTTTGAGGAAAAGATTGAAAATCTCACTGAGGATGCATTCAACACCCAGGTGACTGAGCTGGCCTGGTCTTTTGTTTCTTGGCCCACACAAACTCTCAAGACAACTGGACACCAGCCTTAGCTTTGCTGGCCAGTTTTGGAACATTGTAGCCCCACCTTAACTTGGGCATGTCTTCTTAGCTTCGTCCCTCTGCATCATGCTGTCAGGTCCCAAGTGAAGGGACTATAGCATGTCCATCGCAAACCACAGGGGCAGGGCCTCGTATGTTCTGGAGGCACCAGGGTGATGCCAGGCCTGAAGACCTCTTTTTGGTAACAGGTCACAGCCCTGATCAAGCTGAAGGAGTGCGAGGATACCCACCTTGGGGAGGAGGTGGACAGGAACTGGAACGAAGTGCTGACCCAGCAGTATCTCTTTGACCGCCTTGTCCATGAGGTAATGACACGGTTCTCGGAATGAGACTGCCCGCACAGGAACTTCTGATTTGGCAGGAGTCACAGTTCCAAGCACATTGGTACTGGGTGGAAGAGACGCCTGGGGCACTCACACCTAGGCCTGGTTCCTTACTTGCTCATTGCTCGATTAGTTTCCAGACTGGCCTCTCTAGCATCTTAGGCGGCCAAATGCGCAGGATGCTAACCCTTACTCCTGACCCCCAACCAATTTTAATTAGAGCAGATTCATTTGTTTAATATATTGAGGTTCATGTTAAGATTTGTGAAGTGGGGGTGGGAGTGGGGGAAGTGTTCTGGTATTTAAAGAAAATTTAAAACTTTGATCTTTATGAACAGAGTTCCATCTCCAGACGGGATTCTTGATGTAGATCTTTTGACAAAGTAGTAAAACCCACAAAAAAGAGCTCTGTGTGCTATAGTCCAGTCTCTTAGATAATGTAACCCTACTAGAGGCCCCGTGCACAAAATTTGTGCATGGAGGGGGGGTTCCCCCAGCTGCAATTTGGAACCCCTACACCTTTTTCTTACCTAGCTAACCTCTTCACATTTAAAAAAATTAACTGAAATATCACCTACTCTAGGAAATCCTTTGAACAAATGTCTACAACCTGTATTAAGTATTTTCATAGTATACCGCTTTTTTTTTTTAAAGCAATTTTTTTAATATATATATATATTTTATTGATTTTATACAGAGAGGAAGGGAGATAGTTAGAAACATCGATGAGAGAGAGTCATCGATCAGCTGGGGATATGCCCGCAACCAAGGTACATGCCCTTGACCGGAATCGAACCCGGGACCCTTCAGTCCCCAAGCTGACGCTCTATCCATTGAGCCAAACCGGTCCCGGCGTATACCATTCTTTTTCTTTAACAACTACTTAAGAGTAGATGCAATGTGGTTTTCATTCTTGCAATTGAATTTTTTCTTCTTATTCTAGTAATAGCAAAGCTTATCCAATTTACATTTTCCCTTCAAGGGCTTATATTTGGTTGTTTCTAGATGGCTCCCTGCTTTTTTTCCAGCAATAAATTTGAGTGCTGATAGTGAGCCTCACTTGTAATCAAGCCTGTAGGTCTTCTCTAGCTGAATATTTCTGTAATACCTATCACTTTAGCATACCATTTGTTATTTTATAGGAAATAACAAATGTCACCTGATCATTTGATCTTCTAGTAATTTTTATAGCAAGATGTATTCTAGTAATTTTAACTATTACAAACTGACGTGTACAGAAATAAATTATGTTGAACAATAAAGAATGACTCAAGTATCAAGGCATAGTACACTTAGGGCCTCGCTTGTCCTGTGCCTCAGATATAGCATAGCATAGCTCAGTACACATGGAACTCAGCTTCCTTTAAAGTAGGAAGGGATGCCACACTCATGAAGCAGCTGGTTTTTATTTAAGGGCCTCACTTGTTCCGCACTTTCACAGAGGGGTGAGTAGGGGCTGAGGGAATTTGAGGAAACCCAGACAGAATTCTCTTAAAAGATTTTGCTGAGCTGGCCACTGGGACCGCCAGGCATTTGTCCAATTAAAACCCAGACACACAGCAATAACAAAGGCACTGGTCTCCTACTGCTAATGCTTAAGGGTCACCCCCGCTGTCAGGACCAGGCCGCTGGGTAGACCTGGGCTGGTGCTCCTAATTCAGAGGAGAGGGAGACTTCCCATGATTGCAGGCTAGAGGGGAACAGGTCCATAACACAGGTTGGTCAGCAGAGTGGCTTCTTCGCCTGGGATTGCAGGGCAGCTTGGCCAGGCCCTGCCAGGCCCTGCCTGTTCACCCCAGGATCTCAGGTCAGCTCGGCCTGGCCTGTTCTCCCCATGATCATGGGTCAGCTCGGTGGCCTGTTAGCCCCCACGGGGCGGCTTGGGCCTGGGCTCTTCATCCAGTGATCGCAGGGCAGCTTGGACCCAGGTAGGTGGTGTGGTGGCTTGGACCCGGGCATTGCCGCCTGTCAGGGTCCCAATCTTAGCTTGGATCCACCTGTGGCTTCAGGTGCTGCCCCCCTCACCCCCTTCCCTCCTCCCTGCCACCTGCCCATGTCCCTAACTCCATCTGCCACCATAAGGCCTCTGCCTCCTGCACATGCAAATTTATCCATCTTTGCTGGGTTAATTTGCATATCACTCCTGATTGGCTGTGGGCATAGCAAAGATATAATTAGCATTTTTTTTATTAGTGTAGATGTGGTGAATTACAAAAAGACATTGAGACAGAGGGTTTAACAAGAGGCTCTTAAGGCGCTAGATTTCCTATGAGAAGCAGAACAGATAAAGTTCTCTACCTATTTCAATAGTTTCTGTATTTTTCTCACACTTGAGTATAGTTACTGTGTACCTAAGAGTTTTGGCTGTGTATGTTATTCAGCTATAATTACAGTATCTGCTACCCATTCTTGCTTATGAAACCTTAAAATATGCAGCCAAAGCTTATTTTTATCCTATTCTGGAAGGTTGGGGCAAGCTGAAACTTGATGTGCTCAGACCATGGAAGTCTGCCAGGTGTTAAGAACTACCTTTTAAGAAAATGTGTTGCTCGTCTTTTATAGCGCTCTTTCCTATCCTTCCTTCCCCTAAAAGATTGAAGCACTGAAGTCCTTCTCAAAATCAGACCTCGTCAATTGGTTCAAGGCTCACAGAGGCCCAGGAAGCAAAATGCTTAGTGTTCATGTGAGTATGGTTGTCATTTAGCCATCATTTTCTGAGTTTGTGCTGGTAGCAGAGACCCTAACAGGTCTTTGCCTAGATCTGGTCAGCCTATTTCTCACCGAGAGCCTTTGGCTTCTTCCAGGTTGTTGGATTTGGGAAGTATGAGCTGGAAGAGGATGGTACCCCTCATGGTGAGGATTCAAACTCTTCTTGTGAACCGATGCAGCTAACCTACCTGCCAACCTCTCCTCTGCTGAGAGATTCTACCATCCCCATTACAGATATCAGGGCTTTCACATCAACACTTAACCTTCTCCCCTACCATAAAATAGTCAAATAAACTGCAGTCTCGTTGGCCTGAATGAAACATTGTGTATTTAAAATGTGTATTTTATGAATTTACACTACTATGGCCTTAGGGCTTCCATTGAATTTTTGCACTGGCGTCATAAAATTTGATTTACTCCCCACCCCTTCTGTGGTGACTAACAAAAAAGGGTTATGGTAGCAGCTGGCAGAGAAATCAGCAGGGTGGCCAAAAAGCTTATAGGAGCAGTTTGAGAAACCCTGGCACCTGGTTCTCTCAGACTGAGAATCCAGTTCTGTATGACAGCCCTGTGTAACCCATGTCTTATTAGTACCTAAATGTTAGGTGCTAGTACTAATACCTAAATGATGTTGTTTTTAATGTATTTTTAAATAAAGATGGTTCTGTATTACCCTTCAGAATGAGGCATTTGCTGCTGTGGCATTGTTTTTCAGTGTGGGGTACAGAAATAAATTTTTCCCAAACCCTTTTAGGCAAGCATGTCAAACCCAAAACGAGGCATGTGGCCTGTGGGCTGCAAGTTTGACATGCTTACTTTAAGGCGGTAAAATATTTTTGATTAAAACATTGGTAGTCCTATGTCTGCTACGTGAGTTTGATGAGGACTGGGGGGGGAGGGGCAGAGACAGGACACCAAGTATGAGGGAGTGGTGAGGGCAAGGATGGCCCTCCATTATTACAGGAGAGACCTTGGGAAAAGCTGATTCCTATATTGAAAGTTGCCAAATAATTGCCTCCAAATTTAACCATACATAAACAAAACACATTTAAAAAAGGTTGGAAAAAGTACTTTATGAAGCCTTAAGAAGCACTGAGTATAATTAAACTCTAACCCAGAGTTAGATACAATTACAAAATAAAAGTTATTGTAGATGAGACCATGAAATTTCTTAATACTTGATTTTAATACATTGCGCTACATTTCTAAAAGAACTCAGAGGAACCAATATTTACAGATGGAATATTTATGAAAAATCTGGCATCAGGTATATATGTATATGTACGTGTATGTATATATATGTGTGTATATATATGTATATATATCCCAAGATTATATGAACTAAGAACCAGATGATGTATTATCTCAACAGCAGTACTAGAGTGCAGAGCTTGAGACTGGGATTTTTAAATGCTTTTCAAAGCCTGGGGTTTGGAAAAAGAGCAGACATGGTATTTTCAAAACCCGAAATTTTTCTCAGGACTGAAGTCAAAATTGTAATTGCCACAAAAGAGGAAAAAGGAAGCTTTTCTCGCTTTAATTGTTCATCTGCATCGGAAAGTCCAGTATCCCTGAGATAGGAACCACTGCAATAAGAAGGGAGTATGTTCTCCCAAAGGAAGACTGTTGCTTGATTACGCCTACTGCCCTGGTTATCAGGTGTAAACTTTGCATTTCCCCACCTAATGCTTGGCAGCACCAAGACGTTTCAGTAATGGTTCATCGTAAACCCAACATTCTCCATCTTCGTGAAATAACTGTAAAAGAAAGGGGGAGAATTCAGTTACACTTGTGTACTTCATAGCATCATACTTTTTATTTTATGTCTAGAGGCCTGGTGCACAAAAATTCATGGGGGGGGGGGGTCCTAAACCCGGCCTGCACCCTCTCGCAGCCCAGGACCCCCTGGGAGATGTCCATCTGCTGGCTTAGGCCGGCTCTCCGGGGGATCAGGCCTAAGCTGGCAGTCAGATATCCCTCTGGCAGCCCAGGAACCCTGAGGGTGTCCACCTGACAGCTTAGTCAGACATCCCTAGCACTGCCAAGGAGGCAGGAGAGGTCAGCCCTGCTTGTGGCTGAGCACAGCTCCTCCCTGTGGGAGTGCACTGACCACCAGGGGGCAGCTCCAGCGTTGAGCATCTGCCTCCTGGTGATCAGTGTGCATCATAGCGACTGGTCATTCCACCATTAGTTTCAGTTTGCATATTGCCCTTTCATTATATAGGATGAGTTTCTACAGGAAACTGGGCTCATCTTGTTTATCAGCATGCTTGCTTAAAAACAGTGTTTGGAACTTCAATACTTATTGCAATGAATGCATGAGTTACAGCTCAGCGGACAGGAGCAATAGCAGTTGGGAGGTTGGGGCAGGTTTCCCAGAGCAAGCTTACCCTCGTCTCCCATTGAATTTCCTTCTCCTTCCTTTCTCGGGCTTCGGCTCTTTGTCTTTCTTCAAGTCTATGCTTGGCTTCAGTTGCTGCATCAATATCTCTGATTTTTAAGTTGAAAGTAACATCCTTCCAAAGGCTAAAAAAAAAAAAAAAAAAGAAGTTAAGGTGCTAAGTACTAGATGGACACAATTATGAGCAATCTTGAGGATGAAATGCAAATCTATAGGAAGCCTTAAGTGCCCTTGTTCACAGTCTCAAGATCCTTTAAATGGCACCAGAGCCCTGGGGTAAAGATCAGAAAATAGACTTGGAAGATTCCACTGCTAGTTTATCAAAGCAGGAAGTAAAGGATGAGCAGCAATTTAGACATATGGTAGGGACAACAGGGGAGAATGAACAGTGAGAACTGAGACCTGGGAGTCTATTTCTGACTCTACGTCTAATTATGCAACTTTGGTGATGTCTCAAGGACTTGAGTGTCCTTTACTATTTAAAACAAAAGGATTAGAACAGAGGAGCTGAGAGGTTCCATTTCAGAAAAGCTCCCTTGGAGAAATGGTATGAATAGAGAATAAGAGTCAACTGCAGAAGTTTAAAGGGGTAAGCGTCCTCTCAAAGCCTGGAAGATGGTAACTGGACAGGTCTGGTCCAAATATGTCACTTTACAAGTGAAGACTCCTAGGGACTAGAAAAGTGTCCATGCCTAAGATCCCCTTGTGAGTAGCAGTGCATATTACTTCCATGATTCCACTTATGTAACTCTGAGCAGGCAGTCTAGCCAAGCAGATTATTAAAACCTGTTAACCGAATGGGACCTATAAATACATCAAACATAACACTATGAATACGTCCTTGAAATATATGTTGCGCCCTGAGAAGGATGATATATATTTTTTGTAATCTCTTTAAAAAAATATATTTTATTGATTTTCTTACAGAGAGGAAGGGAGAGAGAGAGCTAGAAACATCGATGAGAGAGAAACATCGACCAGCTGCCTCTTGCACACCCCCTACCGGGGATGTGCCCGCAACCAATGTACATGCCCTTGGCCGGAATCGAACCCGGGACCTTTCAGTCCGCAGACCAACGCTCTACCACTGAGCCAAACCGGCTTCGGCTATAATCTTTATAATTGTTTGTAAAATTTATAATTTTTTAATTCGATGTTTCCATTTTTTTGTTGGTATTCTTTTCTATTTGTTTGTAACTTTGTATTTTCCTTTGTGCTTTATGTATAAATAAACGAAAAAAATATATTTCATTTATTTTAATTAAGTATAAATAAAAAATAATAATATAAAATTACGTCCGCTGGGTGTGACGTACTGACACGTCCTAGTGAAAGAGTACGCGCCCGTTGTACGTTGCGTAATTAAAAAGGGAACTCCCCGGTTAACAAGTTAGTGACAACAAGCAGGAGTAATGGTCTATACGGCCCCCTTCCTTCACTTATGAATCCCCTAATACACTAAATACCCTAATACACTAAACAAAGAACTTTAGTACATAATTCCTCATACCACTAAAAGATCCTGATTTTATTGGGAAAGGAAAAAAATGTTTGAATCTACTGGAATTTAATACCAAATAGGCATTTGAATGCATTAAAGAATAACTGGTTTTCTTAAAGCATGATAATGATACTTTGTGGGTTTTTCTTTTTTTTCATATGTCATTTTAGAGATTTATGCTGGAATACTTAGGGATGAAAATTTTTAAGAAGTTTCTTGCAAATAAATGGCCTGAAGGCACATCTCTCAGTTGGGACCTCACTGCCATCTCTTATAAACCTCAAAGATGGTGGTAAGCCATCTTACTATACGTCCAGTATAATAGGCTACAAACATGCTCATCTCATCTATTCCTCACAACAACTCTGAAGCAGTTCTCATTTTAGGAAAAAAGGCAGAGAGGAAAGCTTACAAGTTTTGGTTACAAAACTTAAGTGGTGGAGCTTGCATGAATCTATGCATTCAAACTTGGTCTGTGCTCTTGCACTCTGCTCTGCTATCTCCATAACCCAGTCCTGCATCTATGTCTAGTCAAATCAACAGCTTTAGTTTTGTTGTTTCCTTACCAGCGGGATTCATACTCATTCTGATCTTCCAACTTTCTCACTTTCTTCTTGATTATAGGCAACTTCTTGGTATCTATAAAAACTGCATTTTCCTAGGAAACAGAGAGGTATTTTATTGTTCAACCTGTTCTAAAAAGAAGAGTCAACTCTTCCCAGAAGATTTTAATAGATGTTATAATCAAATCCCACACATTGAGAAAGAGTATCATCAGCAATCTTTAGCCTTAAAATATAGTTTTGTCTTAAGTCTTAGTAGAGGCTCAATCTAATAAACATTTTCAATGTGACCAGATGCCACACACTCAGGATGTAATCTCTTGGAGAGCTAGACCCATAAACAACTAATACTAATGATAGTTTGCTGAAGTGCTTTTTACATTTCAAATTCTCCAAATCCAAAATCCAGTTCATTGACTCCTGTTAATCTCATACCACCTTCCTCATCTCAGTCAGGTACCCTTTGCAATTCCCTAAGGGCAAGGACTATCTTACTCATTTCTGTATCCCTGGTGCCAGGCATTCAATACATTTCTTACACAAAATAAAACTGCATATAAACACAAGTTAGTTCAGCCCTGCATTTTATAAACATACCACACATTCTAATGATCTAGGTAACATTTACTGGGTGCTTTACTATGTGCCAAGCCTTTTATAACATACATTTTTCTTTTTAAAAATTTTTATTAAAAAATATTTTTTCAATTTGTTTACATTCAGAATTGTGCTGTATTAATTTCAGGTGTACAGCATACTTATTCTTGAATATCTTTAGAGGAGAGTCAAATCATTCTACTCGCTTTATTGCTGAGGAAGAGGTGGGGAAAGGAAAAGGCTTGAAGAGATGGCATTAAAGCTGGCCTCGAGGGTTTAATTTCCAGAGGAAGGAAGCCAGAGTAAAGGATAGGCTACAATTCAGTGTAGCCTGAAACAAGTGGCAAAATACAGTTACTTACCCCTGTTGCATATTTTGCATACATGACACCATTCCATTCCCCTTCAATTGAACAAAAGGACTTCTTGTCATTTGGAGAACTAAATAGAAAAGAAACATTTGTGTTAGTCTCAAGTTGAAAATTATTAAAGATTCTGGTCGGGGACCTATCTACACAGAGCAGAACACAAAAGAGCAACTGTGAAGTCTTTGGTAAAGCAGCTTAACAGAACTGGATTTCCCAGTCAACTGTAAGAACCAAATGGGCCCTGAGCTGGTGACAGCAGCAAACTAGGGACAATTCCTGCCCTCAGTCTGTTCACAGCCTAGTGGGAAGAAACACCAGCATAAATTCTGGTGGTAACTGCTGTGAGGAGTTATGTGAGCCTTGGATTTCAAGGGCAAAACTGTTGGGATGAAGGTCAGGGAAGGTTTTGCTTAAGCCAGAGACCAGATTTTCAACCTGAGGCTGAAAAGGACCCCTGAGTCAAAACAGTTTGACCTCTTTTCCTGACAAGGATCCCTTCCTCAAAGGTCCCAACAGACCTCTAGTTGGACATGATAATGACATGTATGGCAGGAATGGAATTGGAAAGATAAGCATCAGAGCAAAGGACAAGTTAGGAGGGGCAAGGCAAAGGCCAGAAGGAGGCTGAAAGGTCGGAGAGAAAATAAACAAGGTAGAGGGATGAAGCTTCTATCACTGGACTAAACCTTAAGTTTCCTCTATGATTTAGGGGCTTTGAGGAAGGGATACAAATGAAAAAAAATAAAAATAAAATATATATATATGACACCAAGTTTAGGTCACTGTGCAGTGGTTCTCAAAGTATGGTCTGGCAACCCCTTGGGGTACCAAGATCCTCTTAGATCAAAACTATTTTTGTAACACTAACATGTTATTTGCCTTTTCCACTCTAATTTCCCCCCAAGTGTAGTGTGTTTCCTATGTAGCAACCAACTGCAAGTAAGTAGGAGAATCCAGTTGTACTCTATTAAGGACAATCATGTACCACTTGATGGGATATGTTCTGAAAAATTTGTCTTTAGGCAATTTCGTTCTTGTGCAAACATAATTAGAATTCACTTAAACTAGCCTCAGTGTAAGCCTATGACACACCTTCGCTGTACGGTGTGGTCGGCAAACTCATTAGTCAACAGAGCCAAATATCAACAGGACGACGACTGAAATTTCTTTTGAGAGCCAAATTTTTTAAACTGAACTTCTTCTAATGCCACTTCTTCAAAATAGACTCACCTAGGCCGTGGTATTTTGTGGAAGAGCCACACTGAAAGGCCAAAGAGCTGCATGTGGCTCGTGAGCTGCAGTTTGCCGGCCACAAATATAGCCTATTGCTCTTAGACTACAAGCCTGCACAGCATAAAGATTAAACCAGGGGTGAAAACTTTTTTTCTGCCAAGGGGCGTTTGGATAAATTATAACATCATTTATGAGCCATACAAAATTATCAGCTTAAAATTTAGCCTACTATTTGGTCAAACATTTAATTAACTCACCCTCTAATGACTGACTGAATGATTTCAAGGGCCTTATATGGCTCCAGGACTGGATGGTCCCCACCCTTGCCCTAGAGTGTCAAACAAAACCAAGCCCAGATGTGAAGTTACTGTTTCCCCAGAAAGGCATACAGAGAAGAATGTGACCTGAAGACACTCAGGTGGGAGTCAGTGCACTGCATGGGCCAGCTCACGGTCCAATCTGGACAAGTGAGCCAAGAATCCATGAGCTGGGTTTGTAGGAAGGAAATCACACCGGTGACCTGATTGTTCTGAACCTGTATTTTAAAACTCCTTCTGAAAATGGGATTTTAAGAAGAGAATTGACACATAAGCTGTGAATACATTTACAAAGACAGAACCATTAAAAGGTCAATTCCTAACAGACATTATCATTCAAGACGAAAGGAACAGTATTTCAGAGAAGAAGAGCACGAACACAGAAAAACAAAATACCTACAAAATCTCAGCAGTAATCCTGTGCTTCTTGCCGCCGTAGAAAGGTTTCGTGTGGAAGACAATATTTGCACTATAGCCAGTTTTGGAACAATTAATATTGCATTCTCCACCTAGTTCCACCCAGGGCACTGTGAGGATAGACCTGCAAAATGGAAAGTTTTCAGGTAAGGCTAACAATTCAGAGGAAAGAGAGGGGCACAGCTTAAGAAACAGCAGGGTTTGCTGCTGCTGATCAGAAGAAACGGATGCAGCTCTACTTGCCTTCCATAACCGTTGGGGAATGTGAGGATGTAATGTTCATCATGGTCTAGACACGAGACACACCCTGTGGAGAGAAGGGAGAGGAACTCTGATGGCCAGTGTCACCTGGCCATAAGGTCTTGTCTGATTGATGGATTCTCCATTCAATTTAGGGGGGAAAAAGCTCGCACCCCACCACTGCTTTCACCCAAAATAAACGTGCTTACATGCAAACAATGACATCCAGGCTGACTTTCTGGGGCCATTTCCTCTTATTTAGACAATTGACCAGCACCCATTATAATGGCATAAATTTCTATTAACGCCGAAGCCGGTTTGGCTCAGTGGAAGAGCGTTGGCCTGGGGACTGAAGGGTCCCGGGTTCGATTCCGGTCAAGGGCATGTACATTTGTTGCGGGCACATCCCCAGTGGGGGGTGTGCAGGAGGCAGCTGGTCGATGTCTTTCTCTCATCGACGTTTCTAACTCTCTATCCCTCTCAATTCCTCTCTGTGTATAATCGATAAAATAAAAAAATAAAAATAAAAATTTTCTATTAACATGGGAGTCCACCCCATCCAAAAACTTACCCTGCCCTATGTTGTGCACCCCAATTGACATTCCGAGGAATTTTGATTTGGTCCAGATATGAGCATTGAATTGTATCTTCTTGTTAAAACACTCAGCATAAAAGGCTGAAACTATAGAAATTGTTTAAAACAATTAGTGTACTGTGTAATTATACCCACTTCTCCAACTCCCTTAACCTGGGGAAAGAACTGACTCCCTGGATGAAAATTCTTTACCGTTTTCCCCAATGAAAACATTCATTTGGGGTCATGTGGGCAGAAACTTCCCTGAACCATGAGACGATGGCCAATCCTGGAGGCTTAAAATCAAAATGTCTTATCTGTTCTTCTGGTCGGTAAGCTTGTCTATCTCAGCCCCAAGCTGGACCCATGGGTATTATCACTGCACTGAGCCATAAGACACAGGAGACTCCCCGATGTCAGGAATATACTGAGAAGAACTACCTCCCATTTATATACTAGTGAATTGTCTCAAAGTTGCTGAGGTCTCTACAGTACAACTATTAGGTGTAATGACTTTAGAAGCATTAAAGGTTTATTTGGAAAATAACAGTGAAGCTAACAGTCTTTGGAACTTATACAAGGAACAGATAAGAGACGCCCATCCTCACAGGACTGGGAAGACACAGGCAGCCATTAAACAAGACAGTAGTGACCTCGCCTAGGAGCTTTTCATGACCCTTTTTTGCCAGCGTGGTTTCAAGTGGATGTTGCAGAGGAGATAAGCTCTGTGACTTACTGGGTGGATGATGGGAAACTTGCTCAGCCACGAATGTTACACTGTTTTTGGAAACCCCGGGAACTGGTCCTTCAGAAACTAGCTCCTGCAAGCAAATATGACATCATTTTCTTTTGATTTGGAAACACAAATGACACTGCAGAGACTCTAATAAGGGGAGTTTCTCCTTCCCTCCATGGTTACTGCTCCCCCGTCTATACACTCAAAGCACCTGGCACACTTTCAACATGGCGCTGAAGTACACACTGGAGTAAGAACAGACATGTGATTGCCTCTGTCTTCAGAAAGGACTACATGTAACATATCACTTGGAAAGGGAAAGATATGAAGAATTATGTCTACTGAGAGACTATTTTGTGCCAGGCACTGCGGGTCAGGGGATTTGTTCCCAATCCCTCAAGGCCTTTTACTTTGAGGATTCCTTGCTGGTTGTTTTCCTCAAAGTGACCTCTAAGTGCTGAGAGCCTGGGCGCAGGTCTGAGTCACCTGCCACTGTGTTCCAACGGTGTTGTCGACCTAATGTCTCTGAAAGCACCATCTCCAATCTAGCTCCCTCCCTTCAACTCCAGACTCTTAAATTCTAGCTCCCAACTGAGAGCTCCACTCACAAGTCCATGAGATCATGAGCGATCTTAATGTTTCAAATATGAGTTCCTGATCTTTCCTCCCCAAATCCAACCTTTTCCTTCTTAATACCAACAGCACCGATCAACTGCTGAAGCCCCACATACAAGGATTCATCTCTGTTCCCTTTCCCTTACCTCCCCCCAATCCATCTACCAGTTCTAACTCTAAAATACCGCTTCAACCAACCATGTCTCCCCTGGAATAATGGCCAAGGCCCCCTCGCCTCTATTTTTGCCCTTCTAATTTGTTGTTTCCTAAAATCGTTATAAGATCTTTTCAAAACAAAAAATGACATCCTTATAAGCCATAATATCATCATTATGGCCCACAAGGTCTTGCATGATCTGATTTCTAAATCTCTATCCTTATCTCATGCCCTCTTTTCCCATTGCTCTTTATATTAAAAATATGCTGTTCCAACAACACTATTCTTCTATGGGTAGTGAGCATCTTCTGATCATTACTTGTATCACTGTTTCCTATCTCCAAACAAAATGAAGTGTGGATCAGTAAACAATTTAAGATAATTTAAAATGCCAGTGCAAAACTCACCGTGTTCTCTTCAGTATCATTTGGTAATGTCCAGTGACACTGAAAGATCTCGCCCAAAATAGGGTTGTATGGTTTTTTGGCAACCGATCCTCTCCTTCCCGCATGGAAGGCTGAGAGGTACCATTTCACAACCTGAACCATTCGGTCTCTGGCATCCTTTTGGTCACTAATGCTGCAAGGGAGAAAGACAAAATTTGTGTTTTGCTTTCTGACAGGATGCAAGCTGATGTAGCAACCCTCAGCATGGCCACCCTGAGACACGCTGAGGACCCAGCACCAGGAGTTACCTCAAAGTTTCCTTTTAAAACTGAGGCATAATAGAAATAATTAAACACACTGGTCTTAAGCGTGTATCTGTTTAATCAATCACCGTACAGGGCATTTCCATTGCCCCCAAGTTTCCTTATCCCCCCTTTCTAAGCAACCCCCACCCCTCACCCTGAAGCAAACACTGTTTCTGGTTTCTAGTACCACAGGTTAGTTTCCTTGTTCCAGAACTTCATACAAGTGCACTGTTTAGTTGCCAAATAGTTGGAGATTTTCTAGATGTATCTGTGTTATTGATTTCTAATTTAACTCTTTCATGGACAGAGAATATACTCTGTATGGTTGCAATGATTTTAAATTTATTACATCTTCCCAGTACCTGAGTATCTTGATGAATGTTCCATGTGTACCAGAAAGACTGTTATACAAACTGATAGTGTCCTGAAGGTCAACCAGGCCAAGCTGACAGGTAATGCTGTTTGCCTCTTCCACAGCCTTACAGATGTTCGTGGGGGTGAGATGGGAGCAGTGCGTGCAGGTAGCTACTGTTCAATCAGTTCCTGAGAAATTTCCAACCACAATCGTGCACTTGTCTATTTTCCCATTCAGTTTAGCCAATTTTTGCTGAATGTATTTTGAAGCTGTGTTACTAGGTACATACGCATTTAGGATTCTTATGTATTCTTGATAAATTGACCTTTTCTTAATCATATGAAATATCCCTATATGTCTCTGGCAATATTTATTTTAAAAACTCTTCTTTGTCTGATACCAATACAAGTGACACCAGTTTTGTTATACGTATTTTGCCTATGTCTTTGTCCATCCTTCTATTTCATATTTAAAATCTCCTGCTTGCAAATAGCATACAGTTGGATCTTGCCTTTTTTTTTTTTTTTTATCCATTCTGAGAATCACTCTTAAATGGAGTATGCATGTTATTTATATTTAGTGTCACTACTGATAAAACTGGGTTTAACTCTACCATCTAGTACAGTATTTGTTTTCTATTTGTCCCCTTTGTTACATGTTCCACTGTTTTCTTTTTTGGATTTAGTATTTTTAGAATTCCACTTAATCTTATTTACTAGAATTTTAGCTGTACTTTTTAAATATTTTTAAATGGTTCCTCTAAGGGACCTCAAAGTTTAATTCTCATTCATAAAGACTACCCTTAAATCTCAAACCTGTATCTAATGAATAACTGGTACTTTGCATCTTTACTTACACATTATCAATAAATGTTTAATTTTATTTGTTAATCTATGTATTAATTTAAACAGTGTCATATTAATTGAAATTCTTCCTTTTGGCTATTGATAAAATGGTTCTCTTAAATCTTCATCAGGAAGGAAACATGCATATCAATGTCAGCCAATGAGCCCACCCACTGTGACAGCTCAGTGATTTTTAGTATTTGACTTTAGTAAGCCACAGCCCAACACCAACAAATGCAAAAGAGAAGACAGATTAGAACATCCCCTTACAAAGAAAATTTTCCTGCTACCACTGAAAAGCGATGCCAACTCACCTCCTTGTAAATCAATTCCACCTTTCGATGACGTCTGTCTTTTATACATATATTTACTATCACAAGCTTTTACATTCAAAGTTTATGAATCAGTCTGTAATCTGGAAACTAGACTGTAATCTCCTCAAGGGCAGACACTGGCTTTTTCTTTCTCCAGCTCATAGAGTGTCTGGGAAACAATGGGTGCTTTAGAAAGGTTTGATGAACTCAGTTAACTGAACTTCATCAGGATATGTGTAAGTAATTTAACAGTGAATATCAGACCTGGACCACATAAGCTTATAGCTGTGGCTCTGTAAATACTGGCTACCTATTAGTGGGCTCTTAAGATTTTTTAACATATTGGTTGCCTAACAACACCACCATCATGTAACCTAAGCAAACAGGCAGGCCTCTAGTATAAACAAAATATTCAATGCCTTTCATCCAGAAATATTTAAAAGGACGGGAATCCATCTATTCTGCAAAGGCAGAAAGCTATTGGTAAAATCTTCAACAATAAGAAACTACTGTGTTTATTGTCAAATACCTCACAAACAGGTCCGGATGTGCAAAAAAGTCTGCATACATTTCTAAAAGAGATCTTCTTTCAAGAATAAATGTTGGAAGAACTACCTGCAAAACACACACATTTGAGCCTTGAGGATCATATTCTCCTACAGAGAAACAGACTGCAGCACTGCTAAAAAAACAAAACCCATTTTCATCATGTTAACACCAAGTACTGCCCTGGCATGCTTCTGATACCTACTTCCCAAACTGCTCTGATTGAGCAATGCCCCATATCCTGCCCAGCAGATGAAAAATAGAGAAGGGGTTCTGAATTTTCAAAGCCACTTCCGCTGTGACCCTCCCTTTAGCTCACTGGCTCAGTGAGACAACAACAAAGTACTCTGGACAAGCTTTGGCTGCCTAAGACCGCTGGGCATTATATACACGGTATCTTACTGAACTGTGCAACCACCTGTTGTGAAGAAATTATTACCCCTGTTTTACAGGTGAGAAAAATGAAGCTCAAAGAAAGTGAGAAATTTTCTCACTGCACTGGTATTCATGTGGGAATTCAAAATTGGGTTTGCTCACTTTGGGGGATGGTAGTGGTGGTTTGTGTTTTTCTATCATCATTAATGCCCTAGGAAATTTATCTACTTATGAATCTGTGTCCTCAAGGAACTGACATGTAAGGATGGCAGAGCGAAGAGACTGAGGAACGGAGGTCCTTTCCCACACTGCCGGCCCACTGTCAGCATCAACCCCGGAACTCACTCCTCCACTTCTGGACTTCTCATATGGGAGGTAATAAACCTGGTATCCTTCAAGTTACCTTTAGGTGGTCTTCCAGAATTAGAGACCAAAACCAATCAAGGTAGAAGATGTCGAAAAAAAATAGAAATGTCAATGCCTAAAAATAGGTTATGACTTTAAAATGTGAAGTAAAAATTTTGATCCAGCAATTATGCAATCTAACGAACACTGAGGCAAACTCCTACAAATATTCTCTTATCTAGAACATTCCTGGCAAGTATGTTGGGTTCCACAAGTTAATGCTATCCTTATGAAGGTTTTATTTTAGATACTTAAGTAGTAAATGTTATGGATTAGTTTTGTTTTCTTAATTACCTTCTAAATCCAAATCAAAATGAAGCTCACACTGACAAAGACTATCGTTTGACCTGGTCATAATAAAAGCAAGACTCCTGATTATCATTAACTTTCTGAAGTTGGATAGAATAACTTAACCAATAGAAAGCAATTACAGCTCAACTCTTTAAGATAAGAGGCAGCATGGAAAGATTATAGCTTTTGAAATCACAAACCAGATCACAATCTCACTTCTGCTATTTAATAGGATTTATACAAGTTACTTAACCTCCATGAGTTTTAGTTACCTCATCAATAAAGTGAATGAACAATAACACCTACTTTGTAGTGTTGTGGTGAGAATTAAGTGCAAGGACGAGGCTGCTAGCACAGTGGCAGAGATATACAAAGGCAACCGTACACTAGTCTCCTAAATCAATCTGGCACTCAAGAGCACAAAGATTAGATTCAGATTTACTAGTGAATCCAGGCCACAGTAATTGTATGGCTGAATGAGTGTCATACAATTTTCCATTCATTATCTGTTCTAATCCTTACAACTCTGAAGTAAGTCAGTGTGTCCACTTTGCATATAAAAAACCTAAAGATCATTACGGAAGAGACTTGCTCAAGGTCACATGGTTTGGTAATAGCTGACGTAGGTTGTTAGCATAGCTCCACTAACACCAAGGTCAGAACTCTTGCTCAATTTGATTTTGTGTGCACCATACTACTTTAGTTTTTGTCCAAATCACTAACCAAGCCCAATACTGTCCTTGTTTGCCCCCAATAAAATCCAAATCTTCATCCATCCATATTATCTCTAGGAAATTATTCCAACTTTATTTATTTAACTCATTTATAAAAATGCTCAGTTTATTCATCTAATATATATTAAATCACAATAAAAGTATAAATAGAAGTTATGTCATTATACTGTATTTGCAGGTGCGCTCACCACACAATCACTAAGAATCCACAAATTAGGACAGCAAATGCCAAATTTGATTCTTACCTTAGTAAGATCCATTCCAAGCCTAACCTGTGACAAGAGATGCATGATAACGCTCTTGTGCTCTTCCACCGATCCCGCCTCCCCTTCATCATCTCTGTCGTCATAGGAATCGAAAAGATCTAAAACAAAACAGATCTTACACTGGTGGAAAAGGGCCAAGCTGTGCTGCTATCAGTATTGAAAATTTCTCCCAAATATTTTTAAGAAAAAAAAAAAAAAAAAGTTAAATTCTCAAAGGTCACTTACCAGCATCACTTGTTCCATTGGACATGGAAGAATTAAGTGATTCTGTGGTATCTGGACGCTTTAGACTATTTCCTGAGCTACTGTGGGTCAAGACTGAAGCAGATCCAGAGGAACTAAAAAAATAATAATCACCTTCTTAAGTCTTTTAAAAAAGCAAGTAAGAATCACAGTAAGACGTTAAGCTACAAAGCTACTTGAAACTAATATATTCAACTGACAAGTCAGAATCTTAAGATTTAGCTGGTTATGTACATACATTAGGTATACACTTTTCAACTCCCTGAGGCTCCCTCTCTGAGACTGCCCACTTTGATGGCCAGATCTCTCGTCTTATGCTTTTTGCATAGGGTATGCTCAACCATGTTGAGAAGCCATCAAAAATTAGTTTTGCTTCTTTGTCTAAGTTTAAAATAAGTTCACTTTCTAATTTTGTTACTTTGTACACAAATGTAGGCATGTCATAATTCTTGGTAACAATTTCCAGAACCACAAAAATGGCAAGTTTATTACTTAGTCTCAGAAAGATGTCTTGTCTGTATTTTTTGAGATCCTTTGATAAAAGTCCACATGGGTATTAACATTCTTCCCAGTCGTAAAAAAAACCCCCACTGTATTTAAAATTACAAAATAAAAAAACATTATTATTTTTTACAAGTAAATTTATGGTAACTGCTATTACAAACTGGTTAATAGGGTGTAAAAGCATTTCCTTTATTATACAATAGCTATGTGAACATAACTTACCCAGGATTAGTATTTGTACATTAATAATAGAATAATCGAAGGCAGAATTTACTTATTAAGTAAAAAAATAGAAAACTTCTCACATTGCAGATTTAACTTATAAAATGATACAGACACAAAACCAGTATTTTGTTATAAAATTATAGGTACAAAATGTATATATTCTAATTTCAATAAAGTTTGCTCTGATTATTTACCTACTTTTGATTTTTTATTTTAATAATAAGCTATATTTTTAAGAGCAGTTTTAATTTCACAGCAAACCAAGTAGAAATTACAAGAATTTCCATATGATCTACCTCCCCCACTATCAATATCACACTCATCATCACTCAAAATCGATAGTATACATCAGGGTCCACTCTTGGCACTGTACATTCTATGGATTTTGACAATGTATAATGACAAATTTTCAACATTATAGCACTGTAAAGTTTCTCACCCTAAAAATTATCCGTCCTTTGCCTATTATTCGAACATTCTAATATACGAACGTATCTATTCTAATTTAAACATGGTTTGTCTTGGTTACTTACCTTCTTTTAATCTAGTTTTCAAAAATCCTTAGTTAACTTAATATTGCTTATTTGGTAGTTTAGTAGTATTCATTACAAGGTACTGTAACTAATGTCTACTTCAATAGGTTTGAGTTAATGGAAAATATGAGTAAAGACATAGGTAAGAAAAATCAAGTTATCATTAAATAAATGAGCTGCATGAAAATTACCTCTAACATGTTTTGTGACCCTTTGATAGATCATCAAAATAGTCAATCTTTTAAACCAGTTGATCTAAAAACCCCAAATTCTTTAAAATATGTATGTTATTTTAGATGCATTTCCAAAGGTTAGATCTATTTGTGCTGTGCTTTTCCTCCTTACTCAGGTTAGAAACCATGCCTGGGCCAAGTGAAATGCTCAATAAAGGCCAAAATGGGAAAAACCCATTTCATAATTTACCTTGTTCAAGACTAAAGATAGAATATAGTTAAAAAAAACAATGCCTTGATAAAGTGGTATGCATAGAGAAAATAGTTATATTCAATGGGCTAACTTTATAGAATTTAATCATAATAAACTAAACCAAAAAATTTAAAGGTCTGGACTTAATTATAATTACAAGAGAATCCACAACAAGTTTACAAGTTAGATATTATTCTCATCAAATACAGATGCTCAGAATGACCACCTGAAGTCACACAGCTGATACGCAGTAGAGCCATTTCAAATGCATGTGTCTGGCTTCAAAGCACAAGTTCTTTCCAGCATGCCCTGTCATCTAGTTTATAAATGTATAAAACCATACTAGTCAATAACATAGTTCACACAGAAGGTATCACAACTACAGTTCTTTACAAATGGACCAGGAAAAGGATTGATGCTTCTAAGGAGGAAGGGAGGGAGAGAGGGCGCTCAGTGCCTACAGAGGTAAACAACATAAATACAGTTGACCCTTGAACAACTTGGGGGTGGGGAGGATTTTGGGTACCCACCACCTGTGCAGGAGAAAATCTGCATTAAGTCAGTCCTCTGCATTTTGAAAATACTATATGAATAGGGCCAGGTTAGAAGACAATATATTCATGCCTATTACCAGTACAATAGGTAATAAGCATTTTTAAATTTTCTATTTCATAAAAATTTCAGGGAAATTGGGGCCCTGAAACTGGGATCGAAGATTGGCTACCAGTGATGATTATAAAGAAGCTTTTACTGAATTTAGTTAGTTATTCATATGCTTCCAGAGCAGCGATTTTCAAACTTTTTCATCTCATACCACACGTAAATTACTAAAAATTTTCAGCACACCAAAACATATGTTCTATTTTTTGATTTGACAAAAAATAGGTATAATTTTGATTCATTCATATTTGAACCACTATTGTTGTGTTGACTGCTGTCATTTTTTAATTTGACATTCTAAAAGAAAAGATGTCAGTGCCCCTGAATAAATAGTCAAATATTCCATGTTTTAAAAATTATTGCAGCACACTGGTTGAAAATCGCCATTCTAAAGGACAAATTCACTTTGATATTCAATTGTACATTGTTTAGAATAAAAGTTAATGTTCAGTTGAAGAGACTGTCCTTAATTCTGCTTAAATAAAACAATGAATACATAAAAAAAATCAACAAACTTTAATTTGGAATTTTTGTACAAATTCTTATCTTCTTTTAACCCCATTATTATAAGAAATATTTTTTAAAGTTAAAGTGAAATTTTTACTAGCAAACTAGTAAATAATGGCTTCTCCTTAGTTTATTTCCTTACATACATTACAAAATGGATATGCTACATCAAACCCTTTCTGTTTAAGCAGTCCTTTTTGAGTTGTAGATTCTTTTCCTTAACTGAAGTGTCCTGTCTTAAAAGTATGTGTTCACCTAGATCACATACATTTCATTTTTTCCACATTTAAAAATTGGATTTGATCCAAAACTTTCTGTTCCAATATAGTCATTTTCCTTTATAAATTTTGAAATTTTGGACCATTATTATGAAATTATATATGAATATTATACTTTTCAGTTCATGTGCACACTTAAAAGTACTAGAGTCCTTCATAGTATTTCTTATTAAAACAAACAACGAAGTTCAAGGTCTACGGACTGGCTGATGATAAACTTAAAAATTCACATACAATCATTTCCAAATGTGTAATGTCTCACACAGCAAATCCCAAGGTATAACAATAGTTCCAATTACTGAGAAAGCAGGAGTGTTGGAAAAAATGCCCAACATAAAATAGAAGCCAGCTGAAACGGGTTTGGCTCAGTGGATAGAACATCGGCCTGCAGACTGAAAGGTCTCAGATTCGATTCCGGTCAAGGGAATATACATTGGTTGTGGGCACATCCCCAATGGGGGGTGTACAGGAGGCAGCTGGTCGATGTATCTCTATCATCAATGTTTCTAGCTCTCTATCCCTCTCCCTTCCTCTCTGTGAAAAATCAATAAAATATATTTTTTAAAAAATAGAAGCCAACTATATCTATAACAAACATAGGAATATTAAAGCAAATAAGTGTTAATTTGCTTTCTAAAAGATACCATTTATCGAGTGCTTGTTACAGGCCAGACAAGATAGATTATTCTCATTTAAATATCCACAATAATTCCTGAAGTTGGAACCATTATTGTCCTCATTTTATGTATATAAGGAAGAATTACATTGGTTAAATAATGTGACCAAGATCACACACCTTTGAGGCAAAACAAATATAGAACCTATTCTTAAGATTCCAGAATCCAGTCTTACAGCCATCAATGTATTAGTAGGGCTAAGTATTTTGCTTATCAGCTATCATGTAAATGACTCTACATGTAAAAAAAAGCCTTTTCTGTATAATAGTTTGTTATCTAGCTTTGATTTGATGATATAAAAGAGGTCAAATATCTATAACTAGAGGCTGGGTACATGAAAATTCAAGCACTGGAGAGGGGGTCCCCTGAGCCCAGCCTGCCCCTCTCATAATCCGGGAGCCCACAGGGGCAGGAGGTGACCCAGTGATCAGGGAAAGGCGACGCCCCCATCACACCTCTGCTGCTGCCACTGCCGGCAGCGCAAGCCTCAGCTGACCCTGGTTACCTGAGCCTCAGGCGGCCCTGGGCAGCTGCCATCCGAGGCTTGCCTGTGCCTAGAACTGGCCCTGGGTGGCGAGGGTGCTGATGGGACTGGGGGACTCTACAGGCAGGTGTGTAGAGTGGCCAGACATGCCTGGGGGCGGGTCTGGCCATGCAGCGTGCCTGACACCCCAGTGGGGCTGAGGGGACTGGGCAGCGCCATCTTTAGCAGTCAATTAGCATATTCCCTCTTTATTGGCTGTGGGCGCTGCCATATTTGTGAGGATATGATGTTCAGCTAGCACATTCCCCCTTTATTAGATAGTATAATAAAAGGGTAATATGCTAATTAGACCAGATGTCATTTCAGACATCCTTCCTGACGAAGCCAGGCCGGAAGGAAGCAGCCCAGGTCCTGGGTGCCTGCTGGAGGCTGGAGGAGGGAAGCAGCCCAGGTCCCAGATCCCAAGTGCCGAGGGAAGCCAGTGCCAGCAGCCAGGGGAAGGAAGACCTACTCTTGCACAATTTTTCGTGCACCTAGTTTTCTAATAAGAGGAAACCGATAATCAGTATCTATCAAAATTTGTCTACTTATTATCTCTGGAATTCACACACTTCTCTCCACTACCTTGCTATTAAGTTGGCTCAGGCTGTCAAGAGTTCTCAACTTAATATTCTGTTTTGGCTGGTCTCCTTACCTGTTATGCAGCCCCACTGAATTTAATATTTCAATTCTATACCTTTTTTCCAAAACATAGACCTGACCAGCAACTTCCATCACTAGTGAGAAAATGTTCAAAACTGGTAAAAGGCTAAAGGACTCTTTCAGCATCTGACCCTTGCCAACCTCTTATGTTATCTTTTTGTAACCACTCTCCACAACTTACGCTACAGCCAAGCAAGCTCCCCTTGACTCCAGACCTATCTTAACAGGGTTCCACCTCCATGGGAACATTTCCACTTCCCCCTCCTTGCAATGTCCCTTTTCTCTACTCGTCCACAGGCACCTTAGGATCACATCCTCTCCCCTCCCCTGTGAATCCTTCTCTGACTTCTCAGGACTTCAAAATGCTCCAATGACTTACAGTGCTTATTCTTATTGTAGCATGTATACCATCTATATATATATATAAAAGCCTAAGCAACCAAAGGACTGAATGATTGGTCGCTATGATGCACACTGACCACCAGGGAGCAGACACTTAACACAGGAGCTGCCCCCTGGTGGTCAGTGCATTCCCACAGCAGGAGCACCACTCAGCTAACTGATTGGGCTCATGGCTGGCCACCACAACCTAGAGACTGCAGCAAGCCTACTGAGTCAGGGTGGTAGGTGCAAGAGGGCCAGAAGGAGCAGGAGCGACTTGGCAGGAGTAGCAGGTAGTGTTGGACTGCTGGTTTCGGCCGGATTCCTGCAGGCTACGTGAAGGAAGCCCACCAGTGCATGAATCCATGCACAGGGCCTCTAGTTAGATTATAAATGTCTGTTTCTTCCCCAAAAGACAGTGAGTTCCAAGGGGCAAAGACTGGATCTTTTTTCCACCTCCACCTACTATAGCTAGCTCTCCACACTAATACAAAAACAAGTACAGTCACACCTCAGTTCTCAAAATGTTTCCCATCTCTTGCCCAAGTTATTCACAGGAAAAAAAATGTCTCGGTTGTCCAAAACTGCAGTTTTTGACCTGACAACCCTTTCATGCTGATATCTCAGCATGACAAAGGAGAAATGATTTTGTTGCTGGAAATACCCCATTAGCACAATTTTAAAAGACGAAGAGGCCATCAAAAGAGTGTCAATGTTGCTACGGGTGTGAAAGTGCTCACAAAACAACAATCACAGGCAGTTGAATAGGTATGGATTTGGGAAAAAAAATAAAAAAGGAGTTAGCCAGTGACAGCATTTCCGAGGCAGTGATACATATATGAAAAATTCGTTCAAGGCTAACACGATAAGTGTTTATAAATTAAACAGTTAATTGGACATGGACTAAATATAAAAAAGGTTAAAACAGAGAATCACTTGTGGGTCTGGAACAGCTTAAGTGAATTTACATTGTTTCTAATGGGAGAAAATGTTTCAGTTTTTGAGCAAATCTCTTTTAGAACAGCCTCTGGAACAAATTAAGTTGAGAACTGAGGTTTATATATATTTCCTAGTTTATTCATTCTCATTTGACCCTTTCCTAATGTTGGTGCTAGAGAAATAATGCCCAGAGTTCCATGAACAATACTGGCATATTACTGCAGCTGATGCTAATTTATCCCATTTGAATTAAGTTAGGAGTAAAATCAGCATTCTCATAGAACAGGCTTTGTTCAATAAGTCAATTAAAAACAAACAAACTGTCTTTCTTACTTTTTCCAAATCATTTTTAAGGGAGCCTGTCATTAAAACCAGTCTCAAAGTGAAATTACACTTTTAAAAACCAGGAGAGTTGTTTAAACACATACTTATTAGTTCATCCACTTACTCTATCAAGCGCTTTGGGGATGAGCCACTTTGATGAAATTCATCAGCATCATAGAATTCATCTTCACTGCTAGAATAAGAGAACTCCGGGACTGTATTTGGAGACAAGTTGACATGGCTTGGAGAAGTGAGACTGCTACTAGGTGGTGAGTGCCCACTGCCTAGAAAGTTAAAAAGTTTTTAATTAGGGGACAAAGTTGGTCATAAAGAGGAAGAAATTAGGAAGATGGGATGAATGCAGATCTTTCTAAAATTAAGAGAGCTTAAATTGGTACAAGTCCTTATACTATTTGTAAAGAAAATTAATATTTAGACAAAAAGGCAAATTACATTATAAAATAAGGTGTTTTTTGTTTTGTTTTGTTTTGATTTTTTAGCTTTTTTAAATCCTCACCTGAGGATACATTTTTATTGATTTTAGAGAGAGAGGAAAAGAGAGAGAATTCTCATCGATTTAAGAAAGAAACTTCAGTCAGTTGCATCCTATTCTCGACCCCCAACAAACCTGCAACCTAGGGATGTGCCCTGATCAGGAACTGAACCACAACCTTTCAGGCCAACTCTCCAACCAACTCAACCATGGGGTCACAGTGGGGCATAGTCTTTTAAATAAATGAAAGAAAAAAAATGCTGTCCCCATTCTATAATTATCTTTACTAGTGATATTAGGAACGGAGACTTCTGATTATAACTACAATGTGTGAGCTGTGATATTGAAAGTCCCATAAAAGATACCCAGCACCAAAGGGAAGACAGGGGCTCTTATTTTATACTAGAGGACTGATGCATGAAATTCATGCAAGGGAATCAGGGCTCGGCCCTCGCAGCCGTGGCACGGCAGCTGCCTCAGCCCTCACAGCCCCGGCTTTTATTATTATAGATAGTAGATCCAGAACCTAAAAAAATGCAGCACTGAGCCAATAAGAATGCAAAATGGAAAAAATATTAAAAACCACATAAGTATTTAAAAAAGTGTTCAGAATATCACATTCTTTTCTAGTCAATGTTTGGTGGACACGTGAAAACACCAAAGTTCTCCACTCACCATCCAAACTCCTCACCTCTTTTCCACCTGAGTCTAAGGTGCCTGGGGTTCAGGGGCAGAGAAAACACAGGGCTACTATGGAAAGAATGCAGAAAAGGAAGAGACCAGAAGGAGCATCTGTCTATTCTTCCAAAGTTCAAATAAGAAAACAGAAATTAACAGATTTCTGTCTTTGTGAAGATCATCTGCTTCATTGTCTGGTAATAAAGTAATAAGCCATAAAAGTATCAATAGGAGCAATGAAGAGCTGAGATAAACTCAACAAAGGTTTATTGAGCATCTAAAGACTATCAGGTGCCCTAGCCGGTTTGGCTCATTATATAGTGTTGGCCTGAGAACTGAAGGGCCCCAAGGTTTGATTCCAGTCAAGAGCACATGCCTGGGTTTCGGGCTTGATCCCCAGTAGGAGGCGGGCAGGAGGCAGCCAATCAATGATTCTTTCTCTCACCATTGATGTTTCTCTCCTTTCCCTTCCTCTCTGAAATCAACCAATCAGTCAATAAAGGCTATCAGGCAATTTATGCCAAACGGCTACAGGTGCCTGGTGGAAATTAAATTTAAGTCACTGACAGCCATCTAAAAGCCAAGGCCATAGTTCTAGAAAAAATTGAGAACAGCAGCAATAAAAATGAATCCAGAGCCACACATGCATGTTTAGTCTGTTCCCAATAGTTAGAGCACATCCCCATGCCACTTCAATTGCCATGTTTACAAAGATACTTTAAAAACATAACACAAATGGCCGAAACTGGTTTGGCTCAGTGGATAGAGCGTAGGCCTGCGGACTGAGGGGTCCCGGGTTCGATTCCGGTCAAGGGCATGTACCTGGGTTGCATGTAGCTGGGTTGCGGGCACATCCCCGGTAGGGGGTGTACAAGAGGCAGCTGATCGATGACTCACTCTCATCGATGTTTCTATTATAACTCTATCTTTCTCTCCCTTCCTCTCTGTAAAAAGTCAATAAAATATATTAAAAAACAAACAAACAAACAAACAAACAAAAACATAACACAAATGTTTGCCAACTAGTAGTGATGCTTATTGTGGAAATGCCAAAGATAGTTCCTCTTAGCAAATCTCTTAATTCTCTCTCCCTACCCGCCTCCCCAACAGAGAGCAATAAGATGAGAAACTTTACCCCAACAACAAAAAAAGACCAGAAATTAAAATGATTAAAATGCAAATATTCGAGGTAATTACTCCAGGTAAAAGTGTCCACGAAGAAAATGAGTTTGAATGGGAACTGCAAACAAAAGAACTGAGTTTTCCTTATGAAAGAAAAGGATAATATTTGTTTTCCCAATTGTTCCATAGTTCTTTTTTATATTAGTAAAAGAGGTAAAGGAAAGAAAGATGGAAAAAAAAAAAATGAAGAAATTAGGCTGAAATAAAAAAGACATAAATTAGATACTAATTTAAATTTTAAAAATTTCTTTAAATTCACCAACTCAAAGATATGTTTAGAATATCTTTCTCTGAAATAATTTATCCTAAATTATTACTACTTATAATTAATTATCTTAAAGTAAATGTACATAAGAAAGAGAACTCATTTTTTCAAAGTTTCTATCTAACTAGTTTATATCTCCAAAAAGGGCAAATTTTGGCTGTGGTTTTAACATTCTGACATAATCAACAACAGAGAACACAGGCAGTTTTTAAAATGAGCATGAGGTTGCCCTCGGTTGGTGGCTCAGTTGGTTAGAGCGTTGTTCTATACACCAAAAGGTTTCAGGTTTGATTCCGGTCAGGGCACATACCTAAACTTCAGGTTTAATCCTGGGCGGGGGAGGGCGGGGGGGCGGGGTGCAACCGATTTATGTTTCTCTCTCTCTCTTTCTCTGAAATTAAGAAACATATGCTTCGGTGAGGATTTCTTAAAAAAAAAAAAGTGAACGAGACTTTGGCACTGATAATGAAATACAGAAAAAGTCAAATAAAACATTCAACCTCATTTATTCAAATTGCTTATCAGTATTTCCCCAAGAGCTTCAAATAAATCTATTGTTGCTTTCCTTCTTTCAAAATTCAGAAACCTCTGCTAGTAAATATTAAAAACCGAAGTAATAGTACCAGCACCTTTTCTAATTCAAATTTCAAAATAGGCTAAAATCACAAGGAAATTTTTCATTATTACGGTGAAAGTATTGCCCGGGAAAGAAATCTGTGGAGCTTATCTCTGATCTTCTCAAGAGTGTTTTGGCCTCCGGGTGCAACTGAGACAAAAGTACTAAGTGACTCCTTGAGTATGACTGGCAGATCACTCAACATATATCGATTTCATTTTAAAACAAGGGCTAAATCTAATACTAACATTGATAGCATTCCTGTAAACTAGAGATAAAATAATGACTATAAGTCTAAATGAAACAAGGAATAAATCTCATACTAATACTGATAGCATTCCTGTAAATTAGAGATAAAATAGTTACTAGAAGTCTAAATGAATTAAGAACAGGCAAACTAAAATAAAGTATCCCTTTTTGTCTATAAAATTGGTAAAAATATGAAAGATTGATAAATTCTAAAAAACAACAACAAAGCAAAACACCCACACACATGTAAATTTAAGAATCTCAAACTCAGAGAATTTTTTGAGTTTATTTGAACCACACTGACAACAAGTGCACGGAAGTAAAATATAAACTTATTGAGAAAATCCTCCAAGGAATCGCAGCTTTGCAGCTTATTTTATACATTAGAATCAAAGAAGACATAGGGAGGGTTATATGAGACCCACTAGTGGTATAGATTAGGCAGGCGGGAGAAAAAAAAAGTGGGGAAATCTCTGGAGAAATACTTCTTTTACGTTCAAGATAGCTAACAATTAACATTTATGGCACATAGAGACGGTGTGGAGGGGACAAAGTAACAATGAGTTTTGTGGTCTCTGCTCTGCTGTGGTGGGTGTGTAGTCTGTGGAGTTCAGATATAGAAAATTACTCTGACATTCCAAGGGTGTTATCTTAGATGCCAAAAGACAGTAACAGGCTTATTTTAAGGTAAAGGTTGACCTTTGTCAAGAAAGCTACAGGCCTAAGATGTGATCACCTGACATGACTCACTTCTAGTTAGAAATTTTTATGTTCAGAGCATCCTGTGGTTTTACTCTTGGTCTGTCTGAGTTTGTAAGCCCACCATGCCAGCCTCCCCTAATATTGTCAGATTTGGTATGAATGGCCTTTTTTGGCCACTCATGCTTAAAGCTGTAGTACAACAATATTTCACTTAAATTTTGCTAATAGTAAGAAAATATTGGAAAATAACCTAAATGTCAATCAGTGGAAAAAAAGATAATACCTATTTAGGTAGCTGTAAAAAGAATGTTAGAACTAACTGTATGATCATGAAAAGCTCTCTAAATGTACTCTGTTAAATGAAAAAAGGCACAGAAACACAAGATCTCATTTAGGTTAAAAAAAAAATAATAAATATACAAAGCATAGGTATATGTATACACACGTACAGAAATGACAGAGTAAAGATTTTCAGCTTTTGTTCTCTATGCTTCATATTTTCTGATTACTGAGAAAGTATTCAGTCTAACTTGAGTAAAGTTTTCAAGAGTCAATCTTCAAAATAAACCATACAGTAAACAAAAAAAACAAAATCCTATAATATTCTACTTTACTTAAATTTTAATTTTACTAAAGCTTCTGGTTAAATCATAAAGTACTTTATGTACAGAACTGTAATAGCAAAAATATGTTATCTCCAACAGAAAGATACAACACATTTCTTCAGCCTTTCCCCATTAGTAAGCAAATATAAATCTTAAATGTAAACGGGGAGTTGTAAGAAGTAAAGGAATTATATAAATCTGTACCTGTACTATTTGGTGTTGGAGTCTGATGATGTCCCAAGGTAGCTAATACAGGTCCAACTGGTAGGGAAGATGGACGCTGCTCTGATTTACACAACTGAGCAGATTCTAGGAGATTTGAACATGTGAAATAAATTAGAGAAATAGCCTAAACATAACTCTGTTAACTGGAATTGTGTGGGATTCAAAAGCCCAAAGATCAGCACTTTCTAAAACTAAATTCTACTAAGTCAACTTCCATGCTACTCCTCTCTGACATCCCATCCCCTTTAAACTCAAGACACTAGGCAGGATATCAAGAGACCAGTCCTGATAGGCCAGTATCTCAGTAGGACTGCTCTGTAAAAACATCAAACACTTCTGATAATAAAGTGTTTCCAAGCATCAAACCATATAATCTCTGGGGGCAGGTTATCTCCTTTTTAGTCCATGAGAGATGTTATCTCATTCTCTTAAGGACATATAAACATTCAGAAAAAGATTTCACATACTCATAAGTAGTTTTTAAAAAGTCATTTCTTTTTTCCACTACCATCTCTGACTGAACCATGTCATTATTAAGAACACGATTACGCGCTAGCTGGTTTGGCTCAGTGGAACAAAAGCCTGCAGATGGAAGGGTCCCGGGTTCAATTCTGGTTAAGGGCATATGTCTGGGTTGCAGGCTCCACCCTGGCCCAGGGTCTGGTTGGGCTCATGCAGGAGGTAACCAATTGATTGTTATTCTCATATCAATATTTCTCTCTGTCTTTCCCTCTCTCTTCCACTCTCTCTAAAAAAAAAAAATCAATGGAAAAATATCCTCAGGTGAGGATTTTTAAAAAAAAGAACACAGTTATGTTGGATGTAACAAAAAAGTAAAAGAAATCAGTATAGCTGGTAACACTACTTATTACTCTATACAAGTCTATTTAATTGGTAGACATAACAAATTTTATTCTTCCCTTTCTCGTTATCTTAAAGCTCACCACGAAGAAACCATTTGTATTATTCAGAGCTATAAAGAATATCCCAAAATAGAATATTCCTGGATTGCCTTCAAGCAGATCAAGGTATATTAGTTCCCTTGGTGGCCATAAATCCTGAGTCATAGCATTCTGTCCCATCAGCTAATCCATGTCTTAGTAACCATGTCTATTTTCCATCTCACTCTGAAAACCGAATGCCCTTTCATTGTACTTAAAAAACCCCAATATTTAAAATACTATCATTTTCCAGTTCATTTTCGGCTATTTTTATTTTTATTTATTAAAAGAAAAAGTAAGAGCCCTCAAAGATTACAACAGTCATACAAATTATGTTTTTTCTCAGCAACGAGTCTGTGAAACATTTTTCCAAATACTATACCTGGAGGTAAGACAGACTGGGAAGGCATTGTGTTGATCACAGGTTCCAAGGGACTAGGTTGATATATTGCATCTACAGGATTAATAGTACTCTGAGATAAAGAAACACATTATAGTTATTTTTAATTAAATGCCCTTTCAATGCTGACCCTCCCAAATGTATGAAATTGCCCAAATTTCTGACAGCAAAGTCCTGAAGGTAGCTATATAGATAGGCCGATGAAAATACGAAGAGGAAATGAAACAGCTTTTCTATGCATAAGTTTAAGTTTCTCATTATTATTACTATTATTTTAAAAGCAATAGTAAGGAGGAAAAATGAACAAATGAATTAGTGTATTATAGGAAGGTAAAGCTAAATGGAAAAACTTGGCAAGAGTTATATAATGGTATGGCAAGATTTCAGGAAGCCAAAACAATAACCTCTCAATTCAATTCAATTCAGTGCTTCTCAAATTTTAAATTCACCACAAACATTGTTTTTCTATAAGTATTACACCTATGACTAGCTAATGTATCAGCACCAGAGGATCTTATCTTTCCATTCCATACTGCTGCCACCTCCCTCCTATCACTGTCTACTGCATATACAGGCACATAGTTTTACAATCACTCAAGGCAAAAAGATGTATCTTCTATTTGAAATGAGTGTGTGTGGGAAGATTTTTTTTTTTTTTTAGGATTTGAAAACATAAATATATAGTTATGATTTCTGGAGAGAGAAAAAGTTCAGGTTTCTCTTATTCCAAACCAAGAAATTATTCTGCAGCATGATAACATTTTAAAAACAAGACTCCATAGCTTACTGGTGCATTTTTACATGAAGAAATTGAGGATTTCAAACAAAGGTCTCTGCCAGAGTAAGGTTTAGATCCACCACTTAGAAAAGGCTACACTAAGCCCATGGACACAGAGAACAGTTCGGTGAAGGCCTAGGGTGGGATGGGAACAATAAAAGTAATTGGTCAATCAACTTCAAGCTAAAATATGTCAACCTACATTCTACAACTTGTTTTCAAATGAATTTGCCGAGTGTGAGAAATGTTAACAAATGATAATCTACAGCCCTAATCTCTTATGACATTCACAAAACTCATGCAATATATAATTATATATACATAAATGTACGTATAACTAACACTTATGGGGTACTGTGAGCTCAGTTTGACCTTATAAACCTTCTGAGGTAGAACTAGTAACTTTTTTTCCTAGAGGAAACTAAAACTCTAAGGTTAAGTAACTTGTCTAAGGTCGCAGCTAGTGAATGGCAAGGCTAGGTCCTAGCAGTCTAGGTCCAAGGCCCTAAATCCTTTCTTTCTTAAAAATAAAAACTCAAGAAAAATTGCAATCATTCCCAAACAAATGATTTAAATGTTTGTTTTCTGCAAGTTTAGATTTCCCATAGTTAGGGAATCTAGGTGTTTTAATTGCAAATGATCAAACATTTTTTGAATGCTTTCTAAAACTATTTTTTTAACATAATCTAAAGTAACTAATTTTAGTTAGAGGGAAAAGAGATAAAGCAATTGACAACATGATTTTCCTTAGGGTCTTTGGGGACCATGAAATGCTAGACAACATATACAGTCTTTTTCCATGAGGCTTACAAACTTATTTGATATCTCAGGAAAAAAGATTATATTACATTGCATTTATACCACATAATTGTATTATATCATCATGCCTCAAACTTTGAACTCACATTGTGAAAAGAGAAATAAAAATTCTAATGTGTTTAATTCAAATTTTAAAAATATTTCTTTTATCTTTCTTAAAAATATGCAAACATCATGGATATTTAAGTGTTTATTTATTTTCTTTTTCATTTTAACCCAAATATAAAGAAAACATCTTTTTAAGTATAATCATGAGATGGCTTTGAAGATTCCAGATTTCAGACAAGTGTCATTTGTCAAGTCTTAAGACAAAGAAAAGACTGCTTCAGAAACACAGTATGAACAGAAGTCACTGAGTTACCAAAAAACTAGGGTAGCTCAAATTACAAACCTTTAATCTCTAATTTTTATTTCCAGCTGGGAACAATAACATTTTCTTTTCTTTATAGAGAGGAAGTTGAACATAAGGGAAGAGTAAAAAAAATAAACCAAGGAGGAGGAAAGAAGATGTCTGTAAATCAAAAAGTTTATGTTCCAACAAAAATGCAATAATACCACAGTATCAGTGCTAGTTCACACACACACACACACACACACACACACACACACACACACAAGATGAGAAAATAAATCTATAAACATATTTAAATAGATTAAGATGTGTCTCAATATACCCTTCCCCCTCTGCTTTCATTTGAGAACAAAGTTGACTAGAAATGCAGCATTGTGAGTTATGCCTTATTTAGTCATAAAAGATGCATATTCATACCATGATTAATCCTTCAAGTTAACACAAGCAAAGTGATTCAATCTGGACGGACATTAAGAAAAATTTTAAGATCAATGATTCCCCTCCAAATGATTGCTGAAAGATGGGCAACTTTAGGAGCTCAAGGAAAATTGCAAGAGTCAACAACAAAAAGCAATGAGTAGGTGAAAAGAAGAATTTGCATTGAAAAAGAAGAAGAAATTCAGGCTTCTCCTGACATAACTGGTTATAATGCTCTGCAGAATTAAAGGGAAACAAAGATTAGATTAAACTTACTATAATTCCATCTGCGTGCTTCTCCGCATTACACTGGTCCTTAAGGAGAAATGTTAAAAATATTAACTTCATTCTCTCATTTAAGCAACTCCTTGTGTATTTTCTTCCCTATTAAGAAAGCTTATTTTATCAGGTAACTAACAATGTTAGAAAACTACTTTTTTGCTTCCACTAAGATTTTAATTCCATTTGTACATTCCTAACCAAACATAATTTTATCACTGGCTACACAATAATCAATACCAACAGCAAGGCAATTATTTTTCCTATAAGCATTTAATTAAGATCACTGTAGAAATATCCTATTGAACTGTATATTCTCCTTGGTACCAATGATTAAATGTAGATATGCTAATTTAGGTTGAAGACAATATTTCTGGGTTCAATTTTATAGTAAATGCCCCAAACACTTACTGTACTTTATTTTTTTTAAATTTTTTTTATTGTACTTTAAAGGTATGACAATCGTGTACCCTTAAAAACTTAGACCAGACACCATTTCCCATATTCGGAGTGCTGGCCCAACAATTATACTTTTCTAAATAGATTACCTGATTTTGCTTTCAGTAAACATAATCATTATATTCATGGAAATGATGATATAGGAGCTAACTCATTTATTCCATCAACTCTATAAGGTAGGTACTAATCTTTTTTTTTTTTAAATATATTTTTATTGATTTCAGAGAGGAGGGGAGGAGAGAGAAATATCACTGATGAGAATAATGGATCAGCTGCCTCTTGCATGCCCCCTACTGGGAATCAAGCCTGGAACCTGGGCATGTGCCCTTGACCAGAATCGACCTGGGACCCTTCAGTTCACAAGCTGATGCTCTATCCACTAGCCAAACCAGCTAGGGCAGTAGATAGTATCTTAATCCTTAGGTATTTGAGGGTGACAGTGGTGGAAAGTTAACTACCCATTATTATTTTTATTCAGACAGCATATTTAAACTTTAAATAAAACTAATGAGAGTTTTAACTTCATATAATCAGAAAGTTTTCAAGTGTTAACAGAAACTAATATTTGGTCTAGATTTTAAAAATAATGGCCAAGTTTTATTTTATTTATTGATAACTTTTACTTATTTTAATTACTGAGCTTACTCAGAAATCTACATATGGAAGGGTCAAATTTGAAAATTTGAGGATGCTTTTTAATAAATTTTTTAAGTGTATGTACAGAAAAGAATTAACACTGCAAGCCTAAAATAGCTATTCTTAGAAAAGCCTGCTTGTCTAGTTGTTTTGGCTGGTGTCAAGGAAATTCTGTTTCAGGAGGGTTTCCACTACCCTAACTGATAAGGGTAGCTCACTGTTGCCTAAACAATACTGTTTATTTTGAACACCTGCTTTCGTTCTGGAAGTCTGGAATCTTGGTAAATGCAAAATAGAGCTTATGTGACAAACCTCCAATAAAAACCTTGGGTGTTGAAAAAGCAAACATATAACATCTTGTGTTTTGAATCTCGGATGAACTTCCCTGATAAACAACAATCACATGTGCTGTCACAGTTAGTTGCTGGAAGAATTCAGCACATGCTGAATTACTCCACCGGAAGAAGACTCTTGGAAGCTTGTGCCTGGTTCCCTCCGATTTTGCCCCATGTGCTTTCTACCTTTGCTGAGTTTGCTGTAATATATCATAGCTCTGGGCATACTCAGTGTCTTGTAAGTCCACCAAGTAAATCACCAAACTAGGTGGTTTTGTGAACCTTTGACTCAATGCATATTTTTTGTATATATCTGAGAATAACTGCATTTTGATACCTACATAATTCATGTTGGGATTTCCCCATTTATTTGCACAACTGATTTAACTATACATTAAGATTACCCAAAGTTTCAGAAATTTTAATAGAATCAGTTGAAAATAAACTATTGAGAATTAAATAGAAAGAAATTTAGTTTCTTATTCAGGTGATACTTTAATTTACTTTTAGCTTTCCCCTATTAATTTCTGAATATTAAAAATTATTTTTCCAAAGGACTTCTTAGTAATATTATATACTTGTGGTAGATTAAATTTTTCAAAAATGGCCTCAACATGCTAAGAATTCCTGTCTCCTACCCTTGAAACCGGGTGGGCTTTGTAACAGTCTCTACTAATAAGTATGGCAGAAGTGACTATGGGTGACTTCTGCAATAGGTCATGGAAATGCCACAACCGTTTACCTTGTTTTCTTAGAACCCAGCTACCACATGTGAGAAAGCCCAAGTGGCAGTGAAGAGGACTATATGGAGAAGAACCCAGACCCCCAGCCAATTTCCTAGGTATGCATCATGCTGAAAGTGGGTTCTCTGACCTCCCTCTTCATTACTCTCCCCCCGCTCAATCAAGCCACATAAGTGACATTGCATAAAGCAGAAACAAGTCTTGAGGCCTATTCAAATTAAAGATTTGGGAGCAAAACAAATTTGGTGCCTTTTT